ATCTATTCGAATCCTATCAAAGAAAAGGGGGGAAATCAAAATTTGACAAATTTCTATTAATTTCTTAAAACAATAGATAGACGATAACAAAAACCTGGAAAAAGTTGAGGGCATCAGCAACGGAAAGGAGTGATGGAGAGTTGGAGGAGAAGGAAAAGAGCTGAGCAAGGGAAGCTACATCTTGGTATGAAACGGCGTCGGAGAACTTGTTTAAGTAATCTGTGATTCTCCTATGTGCTTCTCCCATGCTTGGGTACGCCATTTCTCCACTAAGTTTCGATTCTTATCAACCAATATATGTATAAAAGTTTCGTCTTTCTGAATCGCTGCTCTCTCAACTGTAGTTTTTTCTTTTTTCTTTTACAGGAACTGAAGATTTGTCTCCTCCTTAATCGACTAGTATTTGGAATTTCGACATTGGAAACGACTACGTTTTCAATGTTGGTGTGTCAAACTTTGCAAAGGTCGAAACCCAACTAGGCTAGGATAGCTGGGACATATTAATTTTAATTAACATTTTATAATTAATTTTATAATTAACATTTTTTTCTACAGCGACACATCACGTCAAATGTGTTTCTAAAAAAAAACAGTTTTTTGTAAAAAAAATATGTTATGCTAACGTTGCAATGAATTTCATGATCAAACGGTCAAAATTAATTTTGAATATGAGGATTTAAATATTTTAAAAAGATAATAAACGACAGAGTCTATGATGTGAATCCGATTAGATCTGAATTGTCTTTGATAGTTTAAAACAACAAATTTAACAATTAGATTATCAAATATCATATTATTTAGGTATTGATTTTTAAAATATTTTTTTTGAAAGATGGTACTTTGTATTAAGAAGGATAACAAAGTACACAACCACAATGACCTCATTAAAAAATCTCTCTAATCCTAAATGGAAGAAAAATAATGTACTTTAAGGTGGTCAAGATCAAATCACATAATATTATTACGTGGTTCAGACCGAACCCCTACCCTACCACAAGCCCAAATCCGACACATAATAACTAACAAAGACAAGCCGACAAAATACCAAGAGAACACCCTGAGCATACACAAACAGCAAAGCCAAAGCCAAAGATTACATAATGGCACAACTAAAACACCAGGACAAACCCATCATACTATACTTGGTTCAAACCAATATAAAAACGTTGCTTTTTACAATAAGTGGGAGCACCACCAACAGGGGCGGACCTCCATGGAGCCCGGGGTATCCTGAGCAACCCCTCATCCAGGGGTGGACCTCCATGGTGCTCGGGGTATCCCAAGCAACCCTTCCACAAGTGCCACCCCTCAAAAGTGTCACCCCTCAAAAGTGTCACCCCTGGAGCTCTTGCAACCCCTAACAAAGGCTCCTGGATCCGTCTCTGACCACCAAAGCCTCCCATGCTAGCACTACACCCAAACAAAACCACCCATGCTCCCACTAACTCACCATGCCATGCTCCACTCTAAAACCCATACCAACCTCACCTTAATCCAATAAAAAAAACCTTTAAGCATCGAAATAAAGCACCCAATCACCCGACAACCACCATCTTTCCACCAAAAGGATCAACATATGGGAATCTACATGTCAGAACACCAACTCGAAACCAGCAACTGCAAACGAAAACCCACCTGCATCCAAGGAAACCTCTCATCACCGTTTAGCGCAATATACATCGCTTCACCACCGGCCAAAGAGCCATCAATGAACGTTCTTTCTTCTTCATGAACCACCGTAAGAATTTTGAGGGAAACAACCCTACCAATAATGATAACAGAACATTACTCCAGAACCACCGAAACACCCTGCACATCCAAAAGCAATCTAGCTTCATCGAACTTAACTTTATTTCTTGTTTCTTCATGGAATGTAAGAAACGACCCCCACAAAGATCCAGAACAAACTGATCTACTTGAAGGTGCAGATATTTTCGAACCAAAAAGCTTGATTCCCCCAACAGAAGTTGAGAAAAAACCGTCACCCAGAATAACACCTAATCTTGATTTTTAAAACATTTAAATATGATTGTTTTAATAATTTATCTATTAAATGATTTAAGATATGTTTTTTTGAAATGATTTAGAGTAATTAAAAGATAATATCTAACATGTAGATGTAGCTGTTTAAACTTAAGAAATAATTACACTCCCTTCAACTAATGAGGTCGGTCAATGGATTCGATTTAAAATAATATTTATACATATGACCAATACTTCTACGAATACATGTCTTTGATATATTTTCTCCATCCTTGGGCGCGGCCTGCAATGAGCACTTTTGAAGGCACCAAAGACGTGACACAAAAAGGGTGCAGCGAATAGCGTTTGATCATTTTCTTAGTGGCCGGAATATTCTCAATAAAAATGGTTTCTATAAAGCAGAAAAGGTTCATCCTCATTTGGACTACATTGCTCCACTGTCCCTTACTAAGCAAAGACTTTCTTATTCACCTTGCTAAATTTGTATTCTAATTCTACGAATTATTAACATTCTATCGAGTGTTATTGATCTCGCTTTTCTTTTGTCACCGATGCTTTGATTTCATAGAAACTGTGTAGAAGGGAGAAGAAGGAAATTATGGGTACTCATTCGTTGAGTCGAACAAAGCCGATTCCAGTTCCAACACAAGAAGAAGACCCAACAAGCCATTCAAGGGCTCTTCTTTCTTGCATATTCCTCACTTGCATTGCTCTTTCAGCTTCTTTTTCAGCAACAGCTCACAGCGTTTCTCGACCTTTAAAGAAACTGGAGAAGCCTGTGGTCATTTTGATTTCCTCTGATGGGTTTCGTTTTGGGTACCAATTCAAGACCTCATTACCAAACATCCACCGTTTGATTGCTAATGGGACTGAAGCTGAGTTGGGTTTAATTCCTGTTTTCCCTACTCTTACTTTTCCTAACCACTACTCTATTGTCACTGGCATGTATCCTGCTTATCATGGTATTGTAAACAACCAGTTTGTGGATCCTAAAACTGGTGAGGTGTTCAATACGTCAAGTCATGAACCAAAGTGGTGGCTTGGTGAATCGCTTTGGGAAACTGTGGTCAATCATGGTTTAAAGGCTGCCACCTATTTTTGGCCTGGAAGTGAGGTAAAAAAGGGTTCTTGGGATTGTCCTAAAAAGTTTTGTATGTTGTATAATGAATCTGTTCCTTTTGAGGATAGAGTTGATACTGTTTAAGCTACTTTGATTTGCCTAGCAGTGAGGCTCCTGTGTTTATGACATTGTATTTTGAGTATCCTGATCATCAGGGTCACCAGGTTGGACCCGATGATCCTCGGATCACCAAGGCTGTTGCTAGAATCGATAGTTCGATTGGGAGGTTGATTGATGGTTTAGAAAAAAGACAGGTTTTTGAGGATGTTACCATAATTATGGTTGGAGACCATGGGATGGTTGGCACATGTGATAAAAAAAACTGATTTTCCTTGATGATTTAGTTCCTTGGATTAAAATTCCTGCTGGTTGAGTTCAGCGTCATGTTCCGATACTTGCGATTCGTCCACCTCCCGGTTATTCACCGTCGGATGTTGTTGCAAAGATGAATGAAGGATTGGAATCTGGAAAAGTTGAGAATGGGAAGTATTTGAAGTTTTATCTTAAGGAGGAGCTACCTAGTTAACTGCATTATGTGGCAAGTGACCGTATTCTTCCCATAATAGGGCTGATTGAGGAGAGTTTTATGGTAGAACAGAAAAGGACTAAGCAACAAGAGTGTGGAGAAGCACATGGGTATGACAATGCAGTTTTCTCAATGAGGACCATTTTCATCGGTCATGGTCCTCGATTTGCAAGGGGAAAGAAGGTTCCATCTTTTGAGAATGTTCAGATATATAACTTAGTAACTTCCATTCTCAAACTAGAGGGTGCTCCGAATAACGGTTCTTCGGCATTTCCCGAGTCTGTTCTATTGCCTAGTCAGTAGTTTTATCTCCTAAGCACGTTCAGAGTGTTCTTAGCTGCTGAAGTACAGAGTAGAAGTGGACAGGACGACAACTGGGAATAGGTATATGTCGAGACTGTGCAGAAGAAGGATATTTGTTAAAATCTGGACCAGTTGATATTGTTGAGTTGCAGATGTTTGTAATTTGTACTTTGTAAGGACTGAACTTCTACTGCTTCGTCGTCGATAAATTTTACTTTTCAAAACGAAAAATCGAATCTCATCTAGTTCCTCGGCTCCAATTTTTCATTTACCCGAGCTGCACCACGTCCTCTGAAATTCACATGACTAGTCTGTGCAAGGCTCTTATGATATTTTAGAAGTAAATTTAACTACCTTGGGGAAAAGCAAAATGTTCTAGCAGTCATTCTTGTGAAGATTGAAGAAGAGTTATGGTAGTGATGTTTGTTCATGAAGCTCTTAGCATAATCTGTCACGGCCATTCTTAATTATTATAAATAGGTGGATGTTTTTTTATGAATTGTAAAATATGATTAATTAGTATAAATGAAATCTGGCCTCAGAATGCTTATATCTTTCCAGAATCACCCCTTGAAAAAGGAACTGTTCCACGCGTTCCTAGCAAGCTATATTTTCGAATCATGCCTTTTTCAGCTTGGAAATTAGCATCTACTGATGTAGAATGAAGAAAAGTTCACATCTTTTTGTAAAAAAATATATATTTCTAATGTAATTTTGTCAATAAAAGAAATACTTTCAGCCTAATCCCAACGTCTTTTCCTGTTGTTTTTTAACTGTAAAGGTAACAGATGAGCAACAGCCTAACAGGCCGACCCATCAAAGATTCTGAAGAGAATCAAACCAACGGAATTACCAATGAAAAATGCAACTAAAAGCACGTTCTTTGGTTCGAAATTCAGTCTTTCACATCAAAGAACCGAAGTATAGGAAAGCTGTCTTTCTGTTTGACTTTCCATGTAATTTATTAGTCAAATGACTCAACTTAGCCTGAAAATATTATAAATGAATATCAATTTTTTCCTCCCCTTTTGTCTCTCCCTGCTTTCTCAAGAAACCTCTTTAGATTAGATGGCCGATGTTTGTAGATTATCAACATTATCATTTAACTGTTCTTCAGCTTCATTGCTTAGTTCCTTTGCATCCACCTTGAACTCTCCACAACTTGGTTTTCCATCCAATATTAGTTTAGATAGGAAAATATGTTCTTTACCCTCTTCCGCTGTTGGTGTTTTGCGCCTTCCTTCGACTTCCAGGAAGCAGTTGCTGTCTTTTAAGGTAAAGTGGTTTGCTGTTTTGTTCTGGGTTTTCTTGTTTTAGTTCCATTCATGAGTCAAATCATGAGTGCCCCATTGGTTTGGTTTGTTTGTTTATGCATTTTTAGTATGAAATCTAGGAGAATGATGCATTTTTAGTATGAGAACCTAGTTGGTTTGAATCTATTGGCAACAATAACAATAGATTTACAAACTGCATGCTACAGCAGCTACCATCTTCATCTTAGTTACCAGTTTTATCATCTGTGGCTTTACATGCCTTAAGATGTATCAGCTTACTGATGCTTATACACCAGGTTTTTGTGGATCATTTAGTTGGAATTTTTCTAAATTCAGTTCATTAGATTCTTAGGAGGTTGTTTTCCCTTATCCTCTTTGGAGGTTTCTTCATTAAATTTTTTGGTATCGACTCTATTGTCTTCTTCTTTTCGAAGTCTGACAATCAATTCTTCCACAGTCATTTCCTTCCTTTTATGATTCAGATAATTTTTGAAATTACTCCATCCAAGAGGTAATTTTTCAATAATAGCAGCTACCTGGAAGGATTCGCCTATGACCATTCTTTCGGCAAGAATTCCATTAACAATTAGTTGGAGTTCCTCCACTTGTTTTACTACTGGTTGAGAGTCAACCATAGTAAAATTCAAGAATTTGACAACTAAAATTTGTTTAGCTCCAGCATGTTCGACTTTATATTTGTGGTTCAGTGCCTCCCACAAATTTTTAGTTGTTTCATAACCAACGTATATCAGATACAATGAGTCATGTCTATTCAGAATATAGTTCTGGCATATGTAATCATTGGCTTCCAATCATCAACAATATTGAAGTCGATAATATTGTCTACCTCTCCTTCTCTTCTTTTGTTACCACATCTTGAAATTTTCTCCACAGAATTTCTTTGGTTTCTCATTGTGATTAACTATCATTATCGGTTGACTCACATTTAGATTTGGATTCTGAACCAGTACTATCATTCTAACGTCCAAGTTGGGTAAACTGGTGGAGTCTCTTGTCTCCATTACTCTGTACAAGAAACAAAACTGAAATTAATAATAATTCCAATAAACAGAAAATTAATTCTTGTTTATTTTTAATTTTGTTAACGAACAAAATCAACGTTCTGAAACAAAATTAGTAATTAATGTTACTTTAACGACAATTTCCATTAAACATATTTCTCCACTTTGAGATTAAGCAAACGAGTTAAAATGGCAGGATAAATCCCGAAAACATATTTATTTGCTATCTCAATTTACCATAATTTTCGAATTAAAACGGATTAAAGAAAAGCAAAATCAAGAAGTTGTCTTAAGATTGTTATAAAATAATAACAATGCAAGATGAAAATCAAACATGAGAAAATAAAAAATAAGGAAGTTAAACTTCTTAAAAACAAAATAAAATTGAATAAAAAGTTTTAATAGATATATCGATAGGAAACGAATTGAGGCCTGTCGCTACACAGTTTTTTTGAGATATATTTTCGCCTATTAGAGAAAAAGAGAATTTTCAAGTTGTTTGAAGTTCTTGATTTCTAAGATATGTTTAACTTAGAATGTTAGTTCTCTATTTATAGGGAATTCTCAAAGGAGAATTTACTAAAAAAAATGTTATTCATTAATATTCAAATTTTAAAAAGATAATATCTTTTAATTTAAAATTTTCAAAAAAAAAAAATCAAATCATCAATGAATTCACTTCAATTTTTTCAACATTATCATTCATGGTTAATAACTTTCTCATTTATTTCTTGTTATTATGAATTGCATGAGATTGAAACATGTTAAAGTATTGATTAAGTATGAAATTTTCTCCTGCAATTGGGGCTACTTCTTCTCATTCATGGCTGATAGCATTAACTTATCACCCGTTGAGTAGGTCTCACTGTTAATTACACGTGCAATGTTTTCCGGAACTGTACTTCACTGGATTTCTCGATGCAATTTGGAGAAACTATTGATCAGTTCCCTATACAGAGAAGGAGAACCATTAACCAAGTTTTTTATTGCAGGTTCATGCGGCTATTACAGAAACAAACCAGCCGAAATGGTGGGAAAAGAATGCAGGACCAAATATGATTGACATTCACTCTACTCGAGAGTTTTTGGGTGCGTTAAGTGAAGCTAAAGATAGACTAGTGATTGTTGAATTTTATGGAACTTGGTGTGCTTCTTGCAGAGCTCTATTTCCCAAGGTAATTCATGTTTTCTAATACTTCAAAGATCAAATCAACTTTTGGTGTTGGCGAAATTTTGCTCTTTATTAGTTCTAGATGATTTCTGCATTGGAGAACCTCAAAGTATCTCTCGAAGAAATATATCGTTATTCAGATTTTAATAACATGATGGAAGATATATAATGAGTACAATATATGATCCAATAACTGCAAACTGCCAAGTCTATCTTGGTTTATATAATGTTTGACATTTGTTAGAGTGGTCTATAAGATGTGATGGATGCTTTAGTTCTCCTTTGACGTGAGGTCCCTCCTTTATCGGGAAATATTAGCACGGGGTCGTCTTTAAGAAATTAAAATATACAGTCAGAAAGCTTACTGTAGCACCATAAGGTCTTTTGATTGAATTCATAATCTGATGTTTATTAGTTCATCGCTTACTTCCACTCAAGAATGCATCCAACGGCAACTTCTCGAACCAGGCTAATAGCTGTGCTCTTTAAATAATTTATGTCTGAACCATTTGGTGTTACCACTTTTTGAAATAGTTGATGTTGTTTCTGATGTATGCTGAATGATGAATTTGGCAGCTCTGCAGGACAGCCCGAGAAAACCCTGAGATTATCCCCTCCAATCCCGTAGTCGTACTTGCCCTCGTTAAAACATGATTTGATCCTGTTGGTTATTCGTTCTCCACTTGGCTGCTAGGAAATTGATAAACTTGCTTGAATTGCATACTAGAATCCTTTGTCCGGTGGTGGTCTTTTTGTTCAGAGAATGGTAAGAGAAGTATACAAGCCGGAAGGACAACCGTACAGGGTTTCTTGCTAGAAAACTCTTCTTCATGCATATTTAGGCTTCGAAACTTGCATGTATAGATTATCAGTTTTCTTATGAAACAGTATCACTTACAGAAAACTCTTTTCCTTGTCATCTGCAGTTTCAGAAAATAAAGGATGCCATCAAAACACATAGACAACCGCATTCCAACATTGGCCCGTCGAAGGAAGTCGAAGACCTGAATCTTGAATCTGTATCTGCTCCGATCAATAAGCCAGCCGTGTCAACTTAAACACGCAATTCGTTAAAAAGCATGTGTCTCCACATCTGCATTTCCATGTATATTGCACATCCAGTTGACTCGTTTTTCAGCTTACATAGTATTATTGTATATTGGCATTTTTCTCAGTAAAAGAGAACCAATTAAAAATTCTTAGCTTTGCACTTTGAAGCATTCTTTTTTACTCTTATCCTACCTGTTATATAGCACAATGCACAAGCTTCCCATTTATGCTTTCGAGGCTCTTCTCATGGCGTCCTCATGTGGCCCGTTGTCTTTGGGTCTCAGTCCAAACTAAGAACCTATAAAAAGAAAAGACTAGCCGGCCTGTATGTACCTGATTACTGTATTCCAATTAGTATCTTCCAGTTCTATCTATCAATTTTCCCGCGTTTTTCCTATTGACAATCCGAGAAGACAAAGGAAGCCATGGAAGAAAGAAAAATGGAGCAATGGGTTACGTTGTTTGACATTTTCATGAATAACCCAACACCTGAAACAGAAGCATCTCTTTGGCTACAACAGAGTTTCAATGCGACAACATCTTCATCGTCAACAATAACTCCAATCACGACAAGCTCTTTCCTCTCTTTGCTTACCAAACCCTGCAATCCCATTGTCAAGGACTCATCTTTCTCTCCACCTACCACACCAAAAAGGTAAACCCAGAAATTTTAAGCAATAGAGATGCTTCCTTTTGCCTTTTCTATTAATTGTTTTTTTTTCCTTTCAGTTTTGTTGATTGGTGAGTTGATCTCTTGTTATTTTGCTTAAGAGTTATGTTTATAGAGATGCTTCCGGGTATGGTTCAGTCAAGAAAATTGCCGTTTCTTGCTTGGGAGAACAAAAAGTTTATTGCGAAGGAATTATCTAAGCTGGCACGTATTTTTTTGAATGAAATTTCAGGGCTTGAGTTTTGGGTCAAGAAAGCAGCACGGAACCTGTTCGATAGAATGTCTGAACCAAATCGTGTTAATGAGTGGATTTCTAGTTTTGGTCTGGACTCCGGTGAAGAATTAGTCGAAGAGTTCGAGTCCATGCCGGGTTGGCTTAAGGACACGTCTACAGCTAACGATCCACTTCTCTATTGGCTTCCTTTATCTGCAGCTGATTTTGGTCCGAGGTTTTATGATGATAGTTTGGAAAATGATCAGAGCTTGTTCGATCAAGTTGAAGAAAATGGAGACGACAGTAAGAAGGAAGTTGGGGTCGAAATGGCAGTCGATCGGGCTCGAATGTGACTTTGGAACCTGAAATTGAAACTATGGCTATTAGTTTGAGAGACAGGTTTATAAACTATGAGTCTAGTTTCAAAACGGTAACTTTGGCGAATGAAATTCGCCAACATTGTTTCGATAAAAGAGCGAATTCTTTTCGAGTTCTGAGTTTGATCGAGCCTTGAAAACCGAGGATGAGACTGCTTTGGTTCTAATTTCTCATCTTTCGAGTGAGGATGAAGACAAGCTTGCTTGGCCAAGTCAGGTTCTCTGCTCAATTGTTTTCCCCAAGTTTTTGGTTCTAGCAGATCCAGCTTCTCGTCTGCTACTGACTTCGACGATTGAGTACTTCAAGCTTCATCAGAGGGCCACGGTACACGGATTATTGTTTCCACTCGTACTGCAAAAAGAGGGTATCAACACCCCAATCTGTGACGTGATGACTAGGATTGAGAAGGAATGCCTGCACCTGGCTCGCGTTTCTGTCTTCTGTCGGACGCTTCTTTGTTGGGAGGAAGAGGAGAGGAGATTCATCTTGCTTCCATGCCACGAATTTCTCTTCTCGAACGAATTGGTATGGACGGATTCGCTATTTAACCTCTTACACAACATCTTGAATCATAATGTTCACTTAACTCAGGATTCTGTTGATCGTCTTGTGTACCATGTTAGGCAAATGGCTGAAACATTCTCCAAATCTTTAAAATTTGGAAACTTAGTGTTACGTTTGGTCACGAAATGTTCTTCCATGCTCGACTCGCATGAAGGATTTACTGACCGAAGCAGCGGAGTGCACCACACCTTTGTTACAAGATCCATACTATCAAGAATCCCTAGGTTTTAACATGATAATTTGAAATTGAATTATGATTTTATTCGTTTTACTATGTTAAAATTTTAGATTTGATTTTTTATTTTAAAATCTCCATTTTTTGTAACGTTAAAGTGAAGATGTGTAATTATTTGAATATTTTAAGGAGATCATAATGAAAATTTAATCAATTGCATTGAACTATTAATAAAAATATATTTTAACTTAATGTTTAAAATTATTTAATACTTAATTTATTGAGCAGTTTCAAAAGTTAAAAGTATTATTTTTTTCAAACTTTTGTTTTATAAAAAATATTCATATTTATCGGGCTGTTTAATGTTTTGTTTTAGCCAAATAAATTCATCAAACTAAAATTTAATATTTTTCCCTAAACAAATTAAAACAGTTATTTTCAAAAATATATATATATATATATATATATATATATATATGATTCTGTTACACAATGTAAAACTCTTTTAATTTTACACAGATTTAAGATCGTTGGAGGAGAGAAAATAGATGGTTGAGATTAACAGTAGAAAATGATAAGATATTTACTGAAAAGAAAATACAAAACGTGCCGATAATGTTGCTATATATGATGAAAAATGAGAACACGTAGATATAGATGAAAGGTTTATGATATCCATAGATTGAATTCATGATGCACAAACAGATGGGACAGCATGTGGGTATACATACAAATAAATAAAAAAAGTTTGGTTGGCAGCCAAAAACAACATGGCACCTCATTGATGTTTTCAGCCGTAACCAAAATTTAAAACATGTCCTAGTTTGTTCAAAGGTCACTATGCTTTTAATATAGCGATAGTACCAATATCGGTAGGGATGGGCTTTGACATGAGTTCCACGGATTTTGATCAGATGGATTTTAGATTGAATGAAGTTATCTTAAATCCGGATCAAATTAAGTGTAGGTAGAAAAATTAATCATTAGATCGAATTCGAGTGACCTAAAAACCCGACCCATAATCATTCTTAAATATCGGTTAAGCCAAGTGGTAAAAAATTCGATTCTTTTGGTATGAAATTTTAGGATAAGTGAGTGAGTGGGAGATAAGGAAGGTACGTATATGTCTGTAGAATCTCAGTTGGCTTGGTTTTTCCTGAGCTATACTATATACTATTACACTATGCTTATAATAAACATGACAGAAACTGTATAGCAAGATTCCTTTCAGTGTTTTCCCATTCAGCAGCAAAATGGCAAATTTCAATGCCAATACTGCTCCAAAGTGGTGATTAATGTTGTATATTTATTGTTATTCCAAGCTTTTAAGCTTGTGGACAAGCTTCATTTCCCTATCTTTCGAGTCTTTACGAAGTTCAGACAAAAACTGGGGAAGGACCCCCTCTGCTATGAACATGTGATCATATAGGTCCGATTTTTTAGCTCATCTGAAACCGACTTGAAAATTTGTCCTCTCTACCCACACCCAACTCGACCCAGGTTTAGGAGGTCCAATTCAACCCAATTTTTAAAGTAAAAAGCCGAACATGATCCATATATAATATATATTATTATTAAGTAGAATAAGGACCTAATTGAAAAAAAATATTGAGAGGTATATTATTACAATTATCCATAAATATATAAGAGATAATGTAACTAGCATCTCGGGTCATGTTGATTTTTTCACTCTAAACTCAACTCATTCCGATCTCATTCCTTAAAAAAAATATGATCCAGCCCAAAAAATAAAAAATCAATCTGATCAGATCAGGTCAGAGTTGTCAAATTCGAATAAAATACTCATCTCTAATCGTGATTGGTACATTATAGTATAGTACGTAGAATTAAGCATGTTTAATCTATATACAGTGACATTATCAAGATCTTTTATGTTCTCAATTCCTTTGCTTTTTAATTCTATGAAAGATGGGTTTTGTCTTGAAGAGGACCCAATAACTGGCTGAATTGTCAATCTATGCATCATGGTCCCAAGTTCCTGGTATATAGGACAAGGTGCAACTTGTCTTTTTCTTGTGTATTTATTCACATCATGTGCCATGAATACACCTTTCATGAAAAAGTGCAGTCTCTTCAACATTTCCTCGTAATTTGTATAGATGTTGTGGAGGAAAGGATATGGACCAGCTATAAAGAGTGAAAAATTCATAATTTTCTTGTAGATAATGCAATGGAATGAAGATTTTACTAATTATGATTAACAAAGGAAGGATTAATTAATTAAATACTACTAATTAGTAATTACTATAGTATTGTGTTCATCTTTATCAGCTTGAACTGAAAAGTTATTGTTAAGTAACACTGATGAGGGTCGTTGGGGACGACTTGTTTTCTTCTAAAGCCGGCCTCGGGGCCGCAAGTGTGAGCTCTAGATCAGGTGTTGTGTCATGCGGCGAACCGTCGACCGGCTTGGGATGATGATGATGTTGATGTTGATGACGATCCGAATTGAATCGAGGGATTGTGAGACTAGGAGGAGGTCCGGCCATGCTACTGCTTCTAACCTGTCATGGCGTCAGAACAGGAATGACAAGAAAAATCTTAAACAGATAGTCGGACCTACTGATCTGTGTAGCGGATAACGTACCATGTCGAACAGGCTGGAACGTCGGTTCTTCTTGTCGAGCGTTGCCAGTCGGAGAAAATACTTTTGAGCGTGGCTAGCAACTTGGGTCGGAGTTCTGGTAGTAACAAAGTTTCTGGAGATGCCTCTCCAGTCTCCTTTCCCAAGCTTCTCAAGCCCTACTAAAAAGATTCTGTGTTCCTCTTCTGTCCATGGAACTCCTGACTTTACGCATCCAATCCATACAAGTAAATATATACATACATATATACACACACATAAGAATAGCAAATTGAACATCTACAAGTACCCTTTTTTTTCTCGGGAGATCGGCCACCATCAGACAGATAACCAACGGAGATTTTATCAGAATTCTCATCGATGGAAACTCGAGAGGAAGACAAAGATGAAGGAGAAAGAGAGGCCGAGGAAGAAGACAAGCAATCCATGCTGAAACTCTTCTTCATATTATTAGCAGCAACAGACGAAGGTATGTCGAGCTGCAGCTGAACACCGAACAGCCGAAGTCCACCGCCACCAGCAGTGGTAGTAGTACCCCTGAAAGTGGAGCAGGTCCTCGAATTGTGGCCTATATTCCCACAATGTGAGCACCTCCTGCCCATTTCCTTCCTGACAAAGCTTTTCACAAAGAGAATGGAAGCAAAGTGAATAAGTTTGGTGAAATATAAAAGGTGGGGTTCATGAAAATGGAGGCATACCTAGAGGAGATGATTGGATGGACTTAATTTATTATTATTTTGTTTGGATATTTTCTTTTCCTCCAAGTTGAAGAGTTAATCATGGATTGACATAGTAGACAACTCCATTTACATGGTTTCAAAATACACTGATTTGGCATTATTATAAAAGTAGAATCTCTCTCATCGTATAACATATGATAATGTTATTAATTTCTAATCTTGTTTCAGTACATATTGACATTAAATAACCTTTGTATAGCAACTACATTATGTCATTTCGATAACTATGTGAGATGTGAGAGATCATCTATTATTCATTGCATTTGGTTTAATTATTTGTTCTTATGCACGAGGCCATTCTAGTACATACACTGAACTAGGAAAAATATTAATATTTCATGTTATAAAAGTAAATTTTTAATTTAGTTTATTTTATTCATAACATCATAATTCTTTTTCGTTGTCTTTTCAATTTTTCAGGGTTTTATCATGATTAATCTGAATCAATCCGTATCGAATATTTGACTTTAGTAAGGATTCTAAAATTTATGAGAAAATATCCGATCTAAAATTAATTAGAACAATAACACCCAAAAAATATTTAGTTTAGGCTAAAAACGTGTCCAACTCCAAATAAACAGGAGAAAAATGAAATTTTACAGTTACATATGAGTATGACCATACAATAAAATCTATATCATATTAAAATCAAAGGGTGACATTATTTGCCTCAGGCCTTCTTTAATATCCAAGAGTGAGCTGTCTATCTACTCTTTCTACATAGTGTAGCTACAGATATTTTCTGCCAAGACCATGATGCTGATATTCAATCTAACTGCTTCGGCAGCTCACCGGATGCGCTTTAACGATCCCCGGAAATTCATGCATAGAAGGTCGAATTTGTGATGACGTCCCCCTCCAACATCCGAAGTACCTTCATGGTGTAAACTTAACTCAGTTAACTGTAAATTGTGAAAGGTTAAGATATGATGTTTACAAGAATCATATAGGTGACAGGGTAAAGATTTCTAATTGTTGAACACGAACGCATTTATGGCAACCACTACAAAATGTTCCGACAGTGTGATGGAGAGTCGGAGACGCGGAGCAGATAAGCTGCACAAAGGACTATAACTTTGACATACACATGCATACCTAGTTCTATTCAGTGTTTCAGAGATGCTGAGATTGGATGAAATTGTTCAATGATCATTGAAACAATGATGACAGAATAAATGTGTCTCGGAAGGGATTTTTATTATGCAATTCCTAATTTTGCAACCTGAGACATACGAGGCCTTGTATGAGGGTCTCGCCCGATGCACAAGGAAGCGCATTGCAGCATGCTGTAGAGCTCTTGCTCCACGTAGCTGTTCCCCAAGCGGGGGTCGACGAGTTCCTGTATGGCATAACTTTCTAGTAAAGGACGTGCCTGCAACAAATTCAAATCGATGAAAAATCCAGCTTAAATTAATTCCATAAGTTTGTAACCTGAAATAAGTCGGACACGTACCCATTCTGTGAGGCACTGCTGTCCCTTTGGCCGACCGATGTCCATAGCTTTTCGTCCTGTGATCAGCTCCACCATTACCACCCCAAAGGAGTAGACATCAGCCTTTTCTGTTATTTGGCCACTTTGGGCATATTCTGGAGCTAAATACCTACCAAAAAGAGTGTTATCTTCAATAAATTTGTTCATTCTGGAAAATATAAGTAACAAGGAATAGAAAATATATGTACCCGAATCGACCAATCACTCTAGTTTCGACTCCTCTGCCTCCATCTGGCTGCCACCTTGCCAACCCAAAATCCCCAACCTGAATGGTTCAGAAGCAATAGTCAGTTTACAGTCTGTATCATATGCCTTTCTTATAGCCACTGGTATATGTGCCTGAAGTTTGGTACAAAAAGAAGACTTCTCAGACTCGAATGAACCGAGCATGAAGAGGAACAAACAGCTGATCAAGAGAAAATAGAAAATTTGTTAACATAGATCTTAGAGATGTGACGTACTAAAGGTTTGAAATCATGGGTGACAAGGATATTGTTGGGCCGCATATCTCGGTGTACGATACAACCAACTCTGCATTCTTCATGAAGGTATCTCAATCCTCTGGCTGCTCCAACAGCAATTTTTTGTCTTGCATACCATCGTAACGTATCATGATTTCTCCCTGAAAATTTCCAATTTCATGATTATCTATTCAGAGAAATCAGCAGTGCTCGTGAAGGACAAGGGACATATCAGACTGATGATAATGTTGTATACATTCAACCAAATTTATCTACCGATCAAATGTAGTACTCAATGTCTTGTCTTAAGTACATTCCATTAAACTCGTGTTACTCAATCAAACTATAGTTTCAAAGAGGTGAACTTACCATAAAGATGAGAATCCAGAGACCCATTGCAGGCGTACTCATAAACTAACAATCTTTTTCCATCGTCAATGCAGTATCCGATCAGCATTACAACATTCCGATGCTGTGCACAACTTAACACCTCAACTTCCGAGCAAAATTCTCGGTCACCTTGAGAACTAGCCAACTTATGTTGCTTCACAGCAACCACCTGACCATCAGGTAAGATCCCTCTATGAACAGAACCGAATCCGCCTTCAGCCAAGAAATTTGATTGTGAAAAGCCATTTGTAGCACGTTCCAGTTCAGCATAAGTGAACCCCCTTGGAGGGTGCCCAAACACAGGTCCCTTGTGCTGACATATTGAACATAATGGAGGAGGTCCAGGAGGAGCATTTCTTGACAATGAGATGGCTTCCCTCACACTTTTGCTGACCTTCAAATCAGGTCTATAATTAAGGGCCCCGACATCAGGTTCTCGATTCAATATAGATAATTTCTCCAACAAAAAGTTATACGTTGAAGTTATAGATGAATCGTTCAGTCTCCGTAAATCGTTTTCGAAATGCTTAGAGTCGGGGCTAGAACTACGGAAGTTGGACATCCGTGGAGTGAAATACGATCCGGTTTTAAGAGAATCTAGCTCACTTTCAGAGTCCGAATCAGATTCAAACAGACTTTGTCTTTTTTCAGTGATAAATGGATAACTTTTCTTCAAACTTTCATATACCCCAGGGAGCAACAACGGTGAGGCCCCTGGATCTGAGCCTGATACTGATGAAGTTCCGATATTAGTAGCTGTTAGGGATGATTCACGCTCAGGACTACTGACCGGAGTCACAAATGGCCCTGTAGTTTCATCGAACATGTCGTGCTTGCTTTTCCTACGTTTAGGATATGTTTCTGATTCAAAGGATAATGGCCAAGCCACTTTAGGTGCCATGTTCGGTGATCCAACCAAGTTCAACCGATGAACCTTCGGCTGTGAATGCTTCATGACCACAAGATTGCATTGCAGCTCTTCCAGACAATGTTTCTTCTCGTGTTTTAAGTGTCTGTGAAAGCATTCAAAGGCAATAAGAACAACAATTAATTGAACAAAATAGAAGAACAGAAAGAAGTTAAGAACATCAGAATGTTATCCACTAAACGAATAAGTTAACTAAAACCATGTGTAATTTGCATAGTCACACAAAGCTAAACAACAGAATGTGATATATCATGCAAGATAACAAAGTTTACATTGTATATATTACTTATCCAAAATCACCCAGTTGGATTGAGCTTTCTTGGCCTCGGTAGCGACTATTCCGTACGGTGATCCAGGAACAATTTTTATCCTGACTTTCACCTGCAAAGATATCTTAACAACTGAACTCCAGGAACAAAGAACTAAACAACTAAAGGAGCATCTGAAAATAAAGAAACACAAACCTTCTCGGGGTCATAAACATCTTTTAACTGAAAAATCATTTGGGAGCATAAATCTGCAAGATCCTGTTTTGCATCTGAATTATTAGTTCCTGAGAGAGACTTCCAATGACCAGTGGCACAATCACTGGTAAATCTTGAAATCCCCCATATCCTTTTACCTGAGAATTCATGAAGCTATCATCATCAGCAAAGAATGCTTAAACCATGTTCTCAGCTGTAACGGCAATGTATAACTGAATCCGGTAATCGAAAATTATCAATTATGACTTATGTGTGCTAACAAACACCCCAAGTCCAATAAAGGAATAAAGAAACATTATGCAATTTCACCACAAGCTCACTACAATCTACTCAAACTAAGTGAAGTTAAAAGGCATTATCAAATTCGGGAACACAGAATTCAACAGTTTACTTGTGTGTTAAACGGCAACACATTTTGTTGCAATGAGTGTATCTTGCCACTTTATAAGGCATAAACATAAAAAAGTGGAGTAGAAGTAGAACAAATTTGTTTCCAAAAGTATATAGCAAAACCCAAATGCAAGCTCAGCTTCTGTGCATATAATTTCTATTACCCAAATCTGCTCAATGATTTCCATCACACAAAGAGTAAAGAGAAAAACAAATAAAAGAGTGAGAGAAGATAAAAAGGAAAAGTAAGTTACTTGAGGAGTGGACTGGAGCAACCACAAGCAGCTTAATGCAATCCCCAGGCTGAACAACATGAGTCAAAGCCCAGACCAGAGCAGTCCTTGGGATCTCTCTTGCTGCTTTAACAGCCACCACCACCACTTTACTTACCAAATCTGAGCTACCCTTCTGTTTCATCTCCGAAAACCCAGCTAGAAACTAAACCCCTAAACACCTCCCAAAGACCTCATAATCAAAACCCAAACCCCATTTCTTCATCAAAACAAAGCTCTTGATAAAAAAAAAGATTGTATTTTCTCTGATTCAGAATACCCAAGGTGCTTTTTTGGTTCATCTTCCCAGAAGAAAAGTTTGTTTAAAAAAATTAAAAGAATAGCAGACAGGGAAGTGCACTTCAAGGTAACTTCATCAAATCAAGTAAGCTAGCTCCTAAAAAGGACAAATAAAACAGTAGTTACAAACCTACAAGCCCCTGTTTCTCTCATTCCCTCTCTTAAAAAACAAGCTTTGC